GGCGCAGCCTCCCTCCCGCGGGGGTCGTGCGCCCCGGACCGCGCGGGGATGGGGAAGAGGGGCGGCCTCTCCGTCCCGCGTGCCCCGCGCTCGGGGACCTCGGGGCCGCCGAGCCACGGGAGAGGCTCCGACACACCCTCCGAAGGCCTGGGATCCTGAAGCCTGAAGCCGCTGAGTAAGTGCCAAGTGTCCCAGGTGTGATGATGTGCTTGCGGGATCGTGTTTTCCTCGTAGTTCGCGGGGGGGCGGGGGGCGGGGGAGGCGGCTGGAGTCGGTGGAAACGGGTCCGCCGCCAGTGGGTACTTGAGGCTGGAGGGGGACCTGCGGGTTTGCTAGACCGCGCTACTTAGGATAGATTTGAAATGCTCCCTGGTAACAAGTAAAAAGAAACTCAAAGAAATGAGGCTCCGAAATGGAGCCGTCGGAGAGGCTCCTGCGCTCCGGCCCGTGGCTCCGGCCGACCCTCCTCTGTCAGCCCGCATCTGCACCTGCGCCGAAGGCCCTGCCCCCGCCCCTCTGACTACCCACCCGGGGGGCGGGGGGGCACCGGCAAGTGAGTCGTCTTTAGTATTTACAGAATGGATCACCTTAAACCCAAACAAAAGGAGAGATTTTGCAGCACCCAAGAAATGTAAGAATTAGGGCCAATCTCTCAGGGCCCCATTTAGAGCATTCTCATTCTCTAGGCAAAAAGCCCTACATTTAAAGTGTTGCAAATCAGATATACAACCAAGGACTTGTATCCAGAGGTTATAAAGAACCCTCAAAACTCAGAAGTCAGAATAGATAAGTGGTCTTGGGGGGGGGTGAGGCAAGTGTTCTAAAACCGGATTATGGTGATAAACTTACTAAAACTCGTTGAATTGTACACGTAAAATGGACGAATTTTATACTATGTATGTTATTCCTTAGTAAAGTTGTTCTTAAAATCTCAACAGTAAGAAAACTAAAACCCGATTTAAAGAATGAGCAAAAGAGTTAAACAGACACTTCACCAAATAGGGTGTACGTAGGCAAAAAAAGAAAAAAAAAAATCACATGAAAAGATATTCAATATCGTTAGTGGTTAGGGAGAAGCAGATTAAGAGCTGGCGGATACAGCACTTCGCACCCACTGGGATGGTTAAAATACATCCCTACCGAGTGCAGATGGGGACCCAGAGCAGCGGTCTCTCTCCTACCTTGCGTGGGGGGATGCAGGGTGGTATGGGGGCCCCAGAGCCCCATCTGACCGTGTCCTGGAAGTTAAACAGCCATTCCCCACATAACCCAGCGATCACACTCCTGGGCGTTTATCGAGGGGGTGAAAACCCTCGTTCATACAGAATCCCACAGACTTGAATGTTTTATAGCAGCTCTGCTCGCAGCTGACTGGTCGCTACCTCCGTGTGCGCCCGCGGCCACAGGACAGACTACTTACTGGTCAGCGAGAGGCGGGGTTGGTGCCTGCAGCAGCATGGGTGAGCTCAAGGGCATTATGTTGAGGGACAAGAGTTGCCCCCTCTCCGGAGGTTGCACACCGTGTGGTTCATGGGCATCTGGAGAAGACCAGATCCTGGTGATGGGGAGGCCCGCAGGGGTTGCCAGGGACTGGCCGGGAGGGAGGTGTTTGGGTGATCAGGCTCTCCCGTGTCCTGCTGACACGAATCTGCACGTGTGTGAACATTCAGAGAACAATGCACAAAAAGTCAATTTTATTGTATAATTAAAAAAACGGAATTTAAAAGAAGTCCTCTATTGCCCAAGTATTTTAAGAGCCTATCACGTGCCCTGTGCTGGGCGAAACCAGCGGGAGGACCGATCAGAGCATCGGTGAGGGGACAGCTCAGCCTGGCCTGGGTCTGAAGCAGGTGTCCAGGGCTGTGGAGCGCGGCGGAGAGGGTCCTTCTGTCAGAAGGGGAGCCAGGGACGGCTGCTCCGGGCGGGGGGCGGGCATCTGAGCTTGAAGAAGGAACAGGAGTCAGTCATTCATTCATTCAACATTTATTAAGCACCTGCTGTGTGCTGAGCGCTGTCCTAGGCCCTGGGGTTGTGCAGCGAACACGAAGGACCAGGTTCCTGCCGTCCCAGAGCTCACACTGGAGTGGCTGAGCTAGGGGCAACAGACACACTACCAAGTGAGAATTCCGGTCCCGAGGAGGGCTGGAGGAAGGCGGGGTGACTGGGGAAGGCCTGACGGGGACATGACATGGGGACAGAGGATGCACTGGATGCTGCAGCCACTGCGGGAGCGTGGGGGGCACGGGGGGATGAAGGTGCAGCCAATGCAGAGGCTTCGAGCTGGAAAGGATCCTGAAGCGTGTGCGGGTCTGAGAGAAGACCGGGGAGCGGAGGGCAGTGGGGTGACAGTGGGGCCGGGATGTGGGCAGGATTCCGGGCATGTCCTTCTCCCCAGTGCAGGGAAAGAGACTGGCCGGAGTCACACTGTCCGAAGCCCCTGCTGCCGGGCTTCCCTTCAGCGAGGGCAGCCCCCTGCTTCCGTCCTGCCCTCCCCCAGCTGTGGCTGTTTGTTTGACAGGGTTGATGGCCAAGGGACTCGGGTCCTCTCACCCTGCAGCCCCGGGGCCCTTGGGCACGCAGGACAGACTAGGACCCCTTGGAGGGCGTGTGGGTCTGGAAGAGGGGAGGCAGGAAGAGCCCCACGGTGCCGAGCACACACACAACCACAAACACCCACAGGAACAGCCGGTCAACCACCATGGCCACGTACTTCCAGTCCTCGACGACCTGCAGGCAGACAGAGCGGCCGTTACGGGCGCCCAGACCTCCCTGCTCTCCTTCCCCCACACAGGGCCCTCGCTGTGGGCCAGGGAGCCCCTAGGCTGCTGTGGCCACCCCTGCAGCTGCAGCATTGCAGGACCCCCCCGGCGCCCCCCACCCGCAGCATTGCAGGACTCTCCCCCACTCGCACCTGCAGCATTGCAGGACTCTCCCCCACTCGCACCCACAGCATTGCAGGACACCTCCAGCACCCCCCACCCGTAGCATTGCAGGACCCCCTCAGTACCCCCCCTGCAGCATTGCAGGACCCCCC